ATCGTTATATCAGGGTTCCACTGTAATTCGCAACCGTGCATAATACATTATACCTGTCAGAATTGAAAAGTCACTGTCTTTCCGATCTGCCTAACTTCGCGGCCGTCAAACCAATAAAAATTTTTCACGGATGAGTACTATCCATTCGGATATTTTCCGTGGACGCGCACGATTGGCTGATAATGTCTCTCTATGGATGGGCACTATCGCGTCACGTGATCAACTTAAACCAATGAGAATCGGAGAAAATTTAGTGGTAAGCTGTAATCCCTGATAGACGGTAAGTAGAGTGAGCAGTTCGAACAAGTGTGTTTCTAAACGAAATAAAATATAAACATGAGCTGGTCTTGTAGTTGAGTTGTGAACGACCAATAGGTTTATACTAATGCAATAAAAATATTCTATGCGTGAAAGGAATCTTGTCCTAGTTCTTGATTAGAGATCAGATTTAGGAGGTTTTTTTGATTTTTGTTTTGTTTTGTTTGTTTGTTTTTGCTTTTTTTTTTTAAGAGAATATACCGTTCCATCGTTATTTTGCGTACGAAAACAATTTTCTTCAAATGCTGCCTTCTTGGGTTTAGTCTCTCTCGACTAAACCTCCACAACTCCAAAAAGTCTCGCCGATGTTGCTAATCATTGCAAACTAATAAGACTACTGTTGCATCATTTCTTCAGCCTGCTAAGCCCGAAGACGTTTTAACAGTGTGTTACACGAGTGGAAGAACGGGTAAGATTTATTGGGTCATGACAAACCCCCTATCACCCCCTGAAAATTTAACCCCACCCTGCAGCTGTTATGAAATGCTTTTGACCCTCATGATTCCTTTCCCTTCCCCCCCTCCTATTTTCATCTTCCTTTATGTAAATGATGAACAGTCCCTTTCCATGTTGAACTCCTCGATGACATTCATTTTAATCGCATGTCACAATCTGATCGGCCAATTTGATATTGTCGATAAGGGTACAGACAACGTTGCTTGCGTCAACGTGTCACATAATGAATAAAGGCTGATAGTTTCTAAAGAAACTGTTTGGGGCTGCTTCGGTGGGGGTAACGAAATAATTTAGATATATCAACAAAGTTGAAATGGTAAATTGGCCACCGTAACGATTACAAAAGCTGACGTGTCACATAATGGTTGTGGTAAAGAACCGCAGTCATACCAACATTAATGGATGTTCAGTGAAAGATTTATTGACCAATGGGTTTTAATAAGCTGCGATTATGATTGTCCTCCATGATTTTCGCTGTTACAAATCGACAGTGGTTTAGCGTGATCCATACTCTTATCGAAAACGATATTCGTCTTCAAAGTAGTCAAAATTTTATGGAATCACAAGGCGCACATTTTGACCCCTGTGCT